GCCTCGGGCCCGGCGCCGCTGGAGGCGGAGGAGGACGAGGAGCACTGGCTGTACGGCGGTAGGTACCCGGGCGCCGAGGGATGCGCGGTGCGGGCTGCGCCCGAGCGGGCAGGGCGCGGGGCCTGGGCGCGCTGCCCCTAACCAGGCTCTGGCGGGGCTTTGGGCCCAGCCCGCTCACGCGAGCCAGCCTGACTGGGACCAGCAAGCGCTCGGGGCCCTGCTGGGTGGGTGACTGACCAGGGCCCTGTCGTTTTGCAGCGAGGCCACAGCTCAAGGCACAGGCCCCAGGGCTGTAAAGTGCAGCCTGGACTTGTGAGTGCAGCTGTGAGACGCGGGTCCGAGCTGTTGGCTTTGTCTGCGCTACACAGCTGTGTCCCTAAACCTCGGGCGGGCTAAAAGCTGTTCGCTCGCCCCCTACTTCCGCCCACTGATTTGAATGGTCGGCTCCTGCCCATAGGAAGCTGTTCACACTGAAACCTGCCCGGGTAAAACTTTTTCTTGCAGGGGAGGTTTTCATCTGTGGACAGCAAAAGTTTTGCCATTCAATTGGCAGTGTAGACTAAGCCATTTTAAAGGCAAGCTTAACAATGCAGTGTAGATGCTCAAGTGCAGGCTTGGAAACACTCGAGTCCATAAGCCTAAATTTGTAAAGCTGTGTAGATATAACCTATAAAAGCCCTCTTTACTCAGAAGACAAAGTAGGATTAAAATACCGGCACAAACAAGATTATGCTTCTCCCCCTCCCCCAAGCTTTTGGGCAACTCTATTCCCCTCACATCCCTTTCTGCTCCTGGGGTGGTGATGGTGTTGACTAATGGATTTTTAGGTTTATATAGAAGCTTCTCCATACGCAACCTAGTGCATGCCCTATGATTGTCTCATACTAGATTCCCCAGACTATGGCAAGATTTTTATGCCAGGAGTGGAATAGAGATCATAGGTTACGGCACTGCTGATAGACAAGAATCTTTCATTTGATATTGGTCTATTTAACCTGTCTAATCAGTTTTGTTTTTTTCTATAGACTCCATGGTATGACTGGAGTCCAACACAAATTTAAACTTGTATAGTGGGGTTCCTGTGGATTTTCTGTATGTGTGAAAACACAGATATGTATTTCCTGTAACTTTGTTCTAGCCATTGAATGTGATACTACTGTCATTCTTTAAATTATGGGATTATGTCTGTTCCAGACTGTGAACTCCTTCAGAGTAGAAACTTGTTACTTTCAATTGTTTGCAAAGGGCCATGCATACATGTAGTACTTTATAAATAATAGTAAGTCTGAATCCACTACCTCAACTGAGTGAGGTAGGGTGTGAGTTGGCCTTCCATCAGAATTTTCTCCCTTTCATTAATTTCTGTCAGTCTTTGATTAATACAGTGTAGCATTGTTTGGCTCATGATCACTTTTTAACAGTACTGGGGTAATGGAAAATGAAGCATCACAACTCTAATAATAAGACATTGGCATGCATAATAACTTTAAAAATCTCAGACAAATTAATATTTAGGCTCTGGTTCTGTGACTGGATTGATGCAGAGGGACCCATTTGCTTCTTGGGGGCTGCATAGGTCAGAGCCTGCGCTTGCTGGCAGAGCATTATTGAAATAATTATTGGGCATATTTTTAAATGCATCTATCATTTCATGTGTCTTTCTGACCATTATGAACCCTTACACTTTTTGGTCAAGGTCAATATATTTTCTGATCTTTTTTCAACAGAAAAAACAACTTTTTGACTTGAGGTCTCATTCCCACCCAGCTTGGTCTCTCTCTTTCATACAAAAAAATGTGTGTGAAGATTGACAGAGCTGGCTTGATAGTTGTCTTTATTTATTCTGTTGCAAAATCTGGGGTCTGGCATTCAGTAGCCCTTTTTAAATTTGATTAGTTGTCAGATGTGTAATATTACTTGACCATTTTTCATTGCTTTATTTCATCTTGAGCTTTGCTTGGAAGCAAAGCTCTTAAGTATCTACTGAATATTTGAGAGAGTTTGTGTGTCTATCCGTCTGTGAGTCTGTTTGTTGAAGAACTCTTAAACAGAGTGAGGACCACCAAATTTGCTATGCAGCTTCCTGTGCTTTAAGTTACAATTACGGTCAGGGTTTGGTTGTGCCAGAAAAATGGGATGTGCCTGGTATGTGATTATTTCCTCATAAAATGCTAAGGCAAGAGTCTGCTAGCAGGCACAGTTATACTGCAGAATGACCACGGGGGCCGGGCACAACTGTAAGACAGTGACCTGCTGGGGGAGGTTTTTCATCCACTGTCTATGGGTAAGGTTCCTGTGCTGGTGCTGGGCATGGTTGTCTCCTTACCCTGCTCCACCTCCCATGCAGGCTCCTATGCCACACAACTGGAAGCCAAACATCACCTCCTTTGTCCCACAGTGCTAGATATGGGGGGGTGGAGCCTGAGTGGGTAGCACAGCCCCAGGAGCCATCACTGGATGATCACTGTGGCCCCAGGGAGCCCTCACTTCCCGACCCTGAGCCCCGCTACAGTTCCCAACCCCCTGCCCTGACCCCTCCTTGACCCTCTGCATGCCCGACTTCCTGCCCTAAATACTGCACTAGCCCCTGCCCTGAGATCCCACAGGGACGTGAGCAACTTGAGGTAAATCCTCTAATATGTAGATATGATAGGCTTTTTTTCAAAAGGCCTGGACTGTGTTAAGTTCTGATCTTTTGGTTTTTGATTTAATATCTTGTTTTTATAATATTTGCAGATGACACTACCGGTAAACAAGAAGATGGACCAATTGCTGGGTAAGTCCATAAATTATTCACTCACATTAACTGTATCTGGTGGAGGAAGCTTTTTCTTAGCATCAGGCTTGCAATACTTAGATACCCTAAGTTTAGTTTCCTGCGTTTAAATGTTTTTGTATGTGTATATACAGGTTGAACCTCTGTGGCCAGGACTTTCTGGTCCCTAGTAGGGCTGTTAAATATTGGTTAATTGAATAGTCGATTAACCTTATGAATTCTTATCGGTTACTTGACTATTCTGTAGTCCCTGGGGGTGGGGCCGGCAGCCAGCAGCCAGTGTGGCTGGTCCCACTCCTAAGGAGCCCCCTGCCACTCCACACTGCTGCCTCTGTGGGGTGCCAGGCGGGAGTTAGTCCACAAGGAGAGCCTGTTTCAAAAACAGTTCCCTTTGCAGACTGGCTGTCCTTTGCCCTGCACTGCTGCCTCTGATACAGAGACAGCAGCACAGCACGGGGTGGCAGCAGCCCCTCTCCTGAGGAGGGTCTGAGCTCCCAGACTTGGCCAAGCCAGAACTGAGCCGGGCTGCCTGCCCGTCTGGCTCCTAATGAAGGGCCGCAGCAGGGGTAGGTCCCAGACCCAGTACAAGCCAGGACTGAGCTGGGCTGGGCGGCCTGCCTGCTTGGCACCTAATATGCTTTAAAGGCAGAGCTGTGGTGGGGGTTGGGCCCGAACCCCGCACAAGCCAGGACTGAGCTGGGCTGCCGAGCAGCCTGCTAAAAAATTTACTGACAAGGGAGGGGGAAATGTGTGTGTAGTCTGTAGCATTAACCAATAAGCTTTTGCTAATTGGTTAGTTGACTACACTATTACATTCCTAGTCTCCGGCACAGAGGTTGCCAGCAGCTGGTGGGGAGAGCTGGCTGGCAGAGCACCAGAGCCTGCAGTCGGCCAAGCTGGGAAGCCGGTGGGGGTAGCAGAACTTTCCTGGCCCTACCAGCTGCAGTTTGCAGGCCCATCAGAGGTGGAGGGGTCACTGAGCCCACAGCCAGCAGGGCTGGGAGGAGGGGAGCTGCAGAGCTGATAGCTGGCAGGGCTCTGAGCGCCCCAGTGGGTTGACACAGTAATGGCAGGTAGCTGGGGAGAAGAGTCCAGCAGAGAGGTTGGCACCCCTTCCTTCCCTGATCCAGAAAACATATTCATCCTGAACCAGTCTGGTCCCTAGGGAGCTGAATCAGGGAGGTCCAACCTGTATATTATAAGAACTTAAGGATTGTTGAGCAGCTGCCAGAAACTGGAGTACCAGGTGTTTATCAGCTCAGTAAATTTAGCTCAGTGTTTGCTGAACTTTGGAACCATAATGAATATTATCCTCATTCAACCAATATTAACACACAGAAGCAAACTATAGACCAGGAGTCAACAACCTATGTCTCCTGAGGTCCACCAACTGGTCCAAGATGAATAAGCTTTCTGGATCAAGGAAGGTCTGGGAAAGAAGGGGTGCCAACCTCTCTGCTGGACCCTTCGCTTCCCTAACAGCAGGGAGCCTGTGCCTCCTCTAGACTGCCGTGCTGTGCTGGATCAGCTGATTGTCAGCACAGCGTGGCAGCCATTTTTATTTTAATGAAGTGGGGATTATTTAAATCCCCACTTCTTTGACTATGCCGAATAAACTATTTTACGTGGCTCCGTCGACGGAGCCATGTTGTCTAGACGTAGCCTCAGTGTAAATATATTCAACATACGCTACATTGTCTTCAGTATTTCTTGACGTTCCTTGATGCAGAAGATTTTGTGAAGTTATAACAGTACTGTAAAAGGGGCCGTTTTCACTGGCATGAAGAAGGATGTAAAAGAGTAGTCTACTTTATCGGGTACTCGAGTCAACTACTCTCATTCCCCCTTCCCTCTGCTGCGCCTCTATCAGAGGCATCCGGAAGGCAGCAAGAGCTGACTTATAAGCCGCTCCCCCTACCCATCACTGTCTCATGCAGCATAATGGTTCTATGGCTCTGCCTTTTGAATGCAGTCCTAGCTTGCACTGGTGTCCCAGGCTGCACCTCTGCATTTTAAATGTAGTAAGAGCCAAGCAGCAATTACTACATTTAAAAAGCAGAGGCGCAGCAGGGTTAGCTTCTGGGGCTGGCATGAGCTGGGACTCCTTAATTGTGGCTCACACTGCACCCCGGCAGCCACCCCTCCTGCAGTTGTGCAGTTTAAATGTAGAAGGAGCCAGAACGCTGTGCCCCCGGCTCCTACTACATTTAAACTGCAGAGCTGCAGCGGGGGGAACGAGCACCCCCACTCTTATTGACTAATTGAGTAGTAGATGGAAATTCCATCAACTACTCGGTTAGCTGATTAATTGCAATTTAACATCCCTAGTGCAAAGGGGTATATTGGTATTCAGGAGGTAGAAATAAAATATATAGGACTCTTACCAACATAAGTGATAACAGTGGTCCTGACAGAGTGGTTTTGTTCTCTCTTCTTAAAACTGTAGGAAAGGATGGCTATTTGAATTTTCAGTTTATGAATTGTAATACGCATTCACAGATACTTCGTGTGATTTGAAGCTGAAGGTAACATTTGTTGCTTGTCCTTTATTCAGTGCTAACTGATCAGTGATTTTTGATATTGAGAAAATTCTGTGGTTTCAGAGGTCAATGCTATTAGCATTCTATCTACCAAATCAAAAGCAATTATCAGGGAACCATCTGTGGCAACTTCTTCCAGTGGTACTTCTCTTTATCTTTGCACAATGGCTTAATGTCCATGACCTTGGTGCTGTTGTGGAGTCTCATCTTCCATTTCAAGCCTGGTAGACTAATTTTTGTAATTTAAGTGCTTTTGCTACCACCTCAGGAATTTTGCCATATTGGTATTTATATTTACTAGGGCAGCTGCTGACTTCTTTGTTCATAGTTTTGTTGAATCTTGTCTTGATTACTGCAATTATTTTTGTGGGACTTTCCTCTAGAAATGTAAAATCCTGCTTAATTGGTTAACTGGTTAAATGTGAAGTTTGACTGGTTAACCAATTAAGGGAGGCAGTGCAACAGCCCAGTTGGGCTGGGGCAGCCCCTGCTGTGCCTCCACCCCCAGCCCTTCCACGGACAGATGCAGCTCTGGACACCCAGAGCAGCCCTTGCCTGCGACATGTCTAGGCCCACCATGGATGGGACATTACTAAACATCCAGAGCAGTCCCTGTCCACAGTGGAGCCTCACAAGGCTGGAGTAGCCCCCTGCCCACAGTAGGCAGGGAGCTACTCTAGCTGCCACAGGTTAACTGGAACCGATGAGCATCACCATTAACCTTGCTGCACATCCCTGCTTTCCACTACCAGTCCTCCAACATGATTGTACAGCTAATAGAATTCAGTTAGCTTCGCGTCTCCCTGGTCTGCTGGGGGGAAGCAGCTAGTGCGGGGTTGCCTCACCCCGTTTGTAAGTAGGGATCCGATGTAAGTCGGATCCATGTAACCCGGGGACTGCCTGTACTCCCAATAATAAGTTTTGCTCAGAACTAAGTGTTGACATATTTGGTCCGCTAAGTCCTCTGTTACATTAACTTTTTAAGAAAGAATTCTGTAATTAGAATTTAAAAATGACTCTTCCAGTTCCATGGTTAAACATGCCTCCCGATTTTAGTTCCATAATTGATCAGGTTCATGTGATTTTTTTTGTTGTTGACGTGACTGGCTTGCTTGAATAAATCAATATGCAATACTAACATTTGCTACACAATCTTTAGTTAACAGAATAAATCTGAATGTGCAACAATGGACATTACGATTAATCTGCTATGAATCAGAAAATGTCATGGTCTGTGGGATTATTACCCCTCCTTTCATCTCTAGGTGATTGGTTAAAATTCAGCCCAATTTCCTAGTAACTGAATGTTGTTAATGTGTGGTGGTTTGTAGAAAGGGAATCACTTGATTTTAATTTAATTCCTACTGGGGAGGTGTCTTCATCACTTAAAAATGCCTGTGTTGCTAGCATCCTTGTGGTCAATCTCAGGCCAAGGAAAGGTCAAGGATTGAATGGAACATGGAGACTGAGACACTTTATTGCCATTAGAAGTAGCTCATTTAGATTGGGGTTGAGGCACACTGAGAATCTTTCAGAGCTGCTGCAAGTGCCTTTGCTGATATGTGGATAAATGTGTGTTTGTGTGCAAGGCTGCCCATCTGGCATTCTTGAGGAGCTCTAAATTGATTTCCAGTCTCAGCAGGTGTTATTTTTATTGATGAATTTGGGCTAACTACTCTGCTACCAGTCACCAGAATTAAATGTGTGTTTTTTTTTTTTTCTTGGTAAAACTATAATCAGAATGTTACCCTGATGTGTACTAATGGACACTTTGGAAATATGAGCTCTGTGAGGCAAGTGAATTTATATTGGTCTGTTATATTTGGTAGACATGTAGAATCGTCTCATCCTTTGCAAGATGCTCCTCAGGAGGGCCAGCCTGTTACCAGTGAAGACCGAGAGATGTCACAAGTATGTGTTAAAGCTACATCTACTAAATGTGGCTGCTATTGTGCAGTGCATATTCACTGCTTAAAATTATTGGTGTATAACACAGTTGGATTAGAGAGTCAACTATGTTTAACTTATTGTATCTATACCGTAACAACTGTTTAATTAGCAATTCTGAGTGCTAATTACAGTATGTAGCTTTTCTATCTAAAACTCCTGTGATCTGAGTACTAGGTGTTGAAATTGCTATGGTCTATACCTCTGACTCAGCCATTGACTCCTGGGATTACTGATTTTGAGCCTTTCAAATCCTCTGTACCTTATTCTCTGGCCCTGATTCAGGATAGCACCCCCTACTGAAGTTGGTTAGAGATAGGCATGTGTTTAGCATGTGATTAAGCATTTGCCTGAATGTGAAAAACTGGCCCGCAGTTACACTCCCAGGCAACCCCACAAGACTGCAGTGGGAGTTAAAGTTGAAAAATAATTCCAACATCCTTGGATGAAAGGTGAAAAATATTTGTGTAAAATTTATTCTTGATTAACCTAGTGAAAAAGGATGTCTTTGTAGCAGAATCATTCTTCCTAACTTCTTTTAGTTTGAGCTTTTAAGGCTTGTTCTCATCCAACTGAATTTCTTGGGTATAAGTATCAGAGTCCCCCATGTGTCTGTTTCACTGTTAGGTCCCTCCTAGTGGTGAAGATGATGAAGATGACAGTGATAGCGACAGTGATGATGATGATGTGAAAGTTACGATTGGCAACATTAAAACAGGAGCACCATCATACATGTATGTATTTGTTTGATTTAATAATCAACTTCCTTATCACTGTTGGTTGGGGGGGAAGCAGTTAATGTTGCCATTTTAGGAGGCAGTAAGCTTAATAGCTAATGCTTATTTCTGGTATTGAGTTGCTGGGTGACACATCTATAAAATTAGGCTACTACTTCCTGTGTCAACTGTTGTGATGCTGAATGAATAATATTGGTGGAGGATTTGACTGAAATAGGTGGTAGGAAGTAGAGCAAGCTCTTAATATTTAATTCTTCAGTTTTGCTGAATTAAAACGAAGAATAAAACTAAATAGTAGGATGAATTGAATGGATGTCCTGAATTTATTAATGGTTTCATCTGTCCAGTTCATCTCAGCTGAGGTATGGTAAGGCCAAATTTGCAAATCAGCCACCTGTCACTGAGATGGTTAAGAATCTGAGGGAATGTCTACACTGCATTCCTCTTTCAAGAGAGGAATGCAGCTGAGCAAAATTGCAAATGAAGCGCAGATTTGAATTTCCCACACTTCATTTGCATAATCGCGTCTAGGCGGTATTTCGAAATACCCTATTTCAAACAAAGAAACGCTCTCTAGATGCGGTTATTTTGAAAGAAAACACTTCTTTCGACATTACCCTTAAACCTCATTTTATAAGGAGGAAGGGTAATTTCGAAAGAAGGGTTTTTCTTTCAAAATTACTGCATCTAGACAGCGTTTCTTTGTTCAAAATAGGGCATTTCAAAATAGCGCCCGGCGCAATGATGCAAATGAAGTGCGGGAAATTCAAATCCACACTTCATTTGCAATTTCACTCAGCTGCATTTGCATCCCTCTCTTGAAAGAGGAATGCAGTGTAGACATACCCTGAGTCTCAATAATGCTTAGCTATGGAAATAAGGGAGCAGCACTTCTGGTTGCTGCTAACAGCCATAGTCTTAGGTAAACCTTTTACCTGTTCATTGTAGCATAGTGTAATCCTTTGTTGCCAGGATAACTCCCCTCTGCTTTTTGAGGAAGGATTTTGGATAGGGTTGTGAGTGAATAGTCAACTAACCAATAAACTTAAGCTTATCGGTTAGTCAAGTCAACTACGTGCATTTTCCTCCCTCCCCCCTTGCTGCCTCGGTATCAGAGGCAGCAAGGGGTGGGGGAGCTGGTGCTTGGTGGGGGAGAAAAAGCTTTTAAGCTGGCTCCCCCGTCTTCATGGTGCTGCCTGGCTGAAGCAGCCTCTGCTGGCAGCAGGCCAAGGCTTGTTGCAGGCAGAGGCTACTCTGGCAGGAGCCCCTGTCTGCAGCAGCCCAAGCTGGCTGTGGGCAGAGACTGCCATCATGGACGGGGCTGCTCCAGTTGGGAAGGCGGTCTAGCTCGCACTGGGTCCAAGACCTACCTCTGCTGCAGCTCTGCAGTTTAAATGTAGTAGGAGCGGAGCTGCCTGCACCCAGTTCCTACTACATTTTAACTACACAGCTGCAGTGGTGGTAACTCCTGGACCCAGCATGAGGCGGGACTGAGCACTTTTTTTTCCCTTCTTGGTTAATTGTGTAGTCGATTAAAAATTCTATCAGCTACACAATTAGCAAATTACCACCTCTTAACATCCTTAGTTTTGGATGTAATTGATCATCCAAAAGAGCAGAGTCCCATTCATTCATTCAATGATTAGATTCATTCAATGATTAGATTTTTCAAAACATCCTTTTTTGTAGTCTGGCTTTTTCATTGTGAACCAGACTGCTCCTTTTCTTTTGGATATTCAGTGCAGACTTGCTGTTACAACCCTTTCCCCCTATTACCCAACTATATCATAATTCATGGTCAGTCACATTCTCTGGTAGGGTGGTGCATATTGACATTGGGAAATCTTCAGGTTCTGCTTCTGAGTCCAGACAATCTTGTGTGCCTTAGGGATGTTAAAATGTGGTTATTTGTGTAAATGTATAACCAATGAATTTTTCAGCAGTTACATACTGGAAAGGGGGTGAAGGGAGGCTCATTGGTTGACCGTGTTCTCAGGTACACATTCACATCCCTAGTGTGCTGTTGCTTAACTGAATAACGCTGAATATTCATTTCCATATACCCTCTCTCCACCATCAGTAGCTTTACATGAATAGTGCAATCTAATTTTTAAAGTAAGGGAGTCTTTATAATGTAAATCACAAAGAAGCTTGAGATAAAGCAAAGGATGTTGTTGCTTGAAGCAGATCTTTATGTTGTTCCAGTCTGCTGGGGTATATTGAGGCTGGAATGTACAACCATGAATCCAACTTACATAATGAAATACTGATCTAAATCTACTTTCATTCTTTTCTATCTAGGGGGACCCCAATGAATCTAAACTTAAAAACAGGTAGAGGCTATGGAACATCCTCTTCAGGTATTATTTTACCATCTGTATTTTAGGTGGTTGTGGGGTGTTTTTTTTTTTTTTTTTTTTTTAAACACTTGTGCATGCTACTTGCTGAAGTTTCTGGCATGAATGGGCCAGCTGAAAATACTGCTTTCTCTCTTTTGAATGAGATTAGAGTATTAAATTAAAGCAAGAGTGAATGTTGTGCAGGGAGTTTCTTAAAAATGAGTGGCTGACTGGGGAGAATTGATGGCCCAACATGTGTTGAAGGGTCAACCAGCTCGTAATCACCTGGAAATGCCAAGCAATGAGGTTGTAATGGTCTGTTTTTTCATTTTCAGTTTAAAACATCAGTAACTTCTATGTAACACGGCATCTGTTCAGTATAGGGTGGTGGTGGTGAATTAATCGTTAGAGCTGGGTTTTACCACCTTGGGCCATGTCTGTGTTATGTGGAAGATTGACGCTGCCATGTTCGATCTTCTGGGGTTGGATATAAGTGGCCTAGTGAAGACCTGCTAAATCAAACTCAGAGGGCACCCCCGTCGGCACCAGTACTCCTGCTCCCGTGAGGAGTAAGGGAATCCAGTGGCATCATTTGCTCCATTGGCCTCCCTCTGTATGGATTGTGTAGAAACTCAGTTTAAGATATGCAACTCCAGCTGTGTTAATCGTGTAGCTGCAATTGACTATCTTAATTTGACCTTCCCCTGTAGTGGCAGCCAGGTCCTTGGTTTTGCTGAGCATTGCCTCACTCGGAGTAGGCTTACTGAGATCATGGGGCTACTTGCAATGTAAAAGATTAATCACCGGGGGAAGGGCAGAAGAATCTGGCCCTTGACCATTTACTAATCAGTTGGCTGGAATCAGCCCTCAGTACTTCATTCTGTTTGTATTTTACAACATATGATGGGTTGAAATAATCTCTAGAATAGGTCCTCTCCCGTACAGAAAGGAAAAGAGGGATAGAAAGGGAAACTATCTTTATGCAATCCCTATTCCCTTTTCCAGTCCATTTTGGTGATTATCTTCCCTCTAGTTGAGGAGAACTGAGGAGATGTAGTTGCCTCTAAAGCCTTTTTCTTTTTTCAAGGTGCTGAGCACCAGGGACTCACGTTGGCTTCGGTGAATTGTTGACCTATTGTAAAAATGAAGCCCCAAAGCAACATTAAAATAGACCTACTGCTCTGTTGAGGAGAGCGGGACGGAGGGGAGGAATTGTACTGAATGATCTTGAAGTCAAGAATGCTGTGGGTTTTGTTTGTTTATAATCTGAGCTAAATTCTGTTAATCTATACTGCTGTTACTTTGGAGGTCTCTCTCTTATCCCCTCACCTTCTAGCTCTCCAGGTTTAGTAGCTGTAGTACCATGGCCACCTATTCTCAAGTCAATGAAAGTTGTGTTTTACTAAAAAGCTAGATCTGATTACATAAGTAGATGCAGAGTTGATGTTAAATTCATAGCAGATAATAGCAAATTATTCGGTTTAAAATAGCTCCTCAAATTGGTGGATTAGGAGCTTTGCATTAAAGGCCTTAACAGTTTCTCTCTCTTCACAGCCAAGTTGCAGCCCAAAGGTATTGATCTAGATGCCACAGGAAATATAAATGGATTACCTGTAATAGAAGTGGATTTAGATTCATTTGAAGACAAACCGTGGAGGAAACCAGGTGGGGCCTCAAAGTTTCTTGTGGTAAATATTTTCTGCAGTTCTGTTTCATTTTGCTTTTGATACATAGTTTGTCAAAGTGTTGCTGTCAAGGGAGATGGAGTGGGAAATCTGAACAACTCTTAATGCTTAGCCTCTGACTCCTGTTCTGAGCAGTTAGTGATGCTAGCTGGAGTTATTGAGCCATCTGTCAATTTCCGTAGTGATTAGAAGAAATTAGGTTAGACTTGTTTTTTATTTATCTTATTTTCCAAAATAAAAGTAGCTGGTCTTTATAGTTACATCTGTTTCCTTGAACAGATACTGCTATCGGAGTGATAATAGCATTTGGCAAAATCCTGAAGTCAGATGACTTCTTGTCATTGACTTCAGTGGGATCAGGATTTGGCTGCAAGTAAGAGGTGGTGTCCTATTGATGCATAGCAGTCGGCATGCTTTAGCACATGACAGCTGAATTCAAAAATGCTCCCTGTGCAGCTTTGTCATTGGCACTACTTAAGCATATCAGGACCTCAGTTGGAAAATCCCAGGAACATGAAGGAGCATGGGGATAGATAGTTAGTTAGTTCCTAGCAAGTTAGCACTCAACTACATAATTTCTGTTGTCAGTAGGAGTTGGGGGCAAAATCCTTATATATCATGAAGGAAAGCAATCACACTCAGGTTTTGAGAAGAGCATCTCTGATGTGAGATTATTTTCCTTACTGGGTTGGTTTGATGGCTTTTTTGATACATAATCTGATGTATGCATTAGCGGGGAAACATTGATTGTTTCCTGCCTCTGTGTAACAAGGCAAAAGTCTTCAGAAGGTGGGTTCTGCTCCGGAGTCTGCCACTAGATGAGACACCCCGAGTGACTTACTTTCTATGCCTCAGTTTTGTTCTGTCTCATGAGGATAATGATACTTGCCTTTTGTAGACAGTTGAGACTTTTTAGATAAAAATTATGTAACATGCTAAATTACAATATAGGAAGCTTCTTTTATCTTCCCTGTTTCTATTGGGTTTTATATTGGGGAGTTTTCTACATGAAAGTGGCTCTTATGTACAAATTATAAAATGCTTGAAGTGAAGTCTTTCTATTTTTCAGGTGTTTCATACAAAAATAACTAAAAGCTAAAGAGATCCAAACACTTATTACAGCAGCTGTGCAAAATTGGCATGAAAATCTACTAAGTCTAGGCATAAAATCCACTCAGTTTCTCCTTCATATAATAGGGTGAGCTAATATTTTACTTTTCCTTCAAAAACAGGATTCTGCTGTTTTGTTAGTGTATTTGGAAGACTGTGTATGAGACATGTTTGATACGTCTCACCCACCTGAAATGAAAGGCTCTAGGGGACATAATAGAAAATTCAAATCACTGTTTTACTTTTTCAAGGTATTGAGTACTTGGATGAATGGGTGTTGGTGTAGATGTAAATAGAAAACCTATCCTTTTCTCCTGCAGGGTATTTGACTACGAATTGAAAGAGAAACTAGGAAGAGAAGAAGTTAGGAAAGAACAAAATTAGAGCAGTGATACCAGTAAAGTTCAGAGAACATAATAGAAAATTCAAATCACTGTTTTACTTTTTCAAGGTATTGAGTACTTGGATGAATGGGTGTTGGTGTAGATGTAAATAGAAAACCTATCCTTTTCTCCTGCAGGGTATTTGACTACGAATTGAAAGAGAAACTAGGAAGAGAAGAAGTTAGGAAAGAACAAAATTAGAGCAGTGATACCAGTAAAGTTCAGAGATACG